CTGGATGCTTTAGGAGATTTTTGGGTTTATTTCTTGGTTCCTGCGGGCTGGCTGCGAGTGGGACGGCTGTTTCTTGGCATCACGTGGCGATGGAGGAGGCGGGAGGCTGCGGTGAGAGGCTTCCCCTTAGGGCATCGCATCCCGGGGAGGAAATTCCGGGGAGCCTTGTGCTGCCCGCGGTGATAGCACACCCCGACACACGTTGTTCGGGGCTGTCGGAGCAAAAAAGAGATGTCCGAGGTGTTGCCAACAGCCTTGGCAAGCCAAGGAGCCCCGGAGAGGGAGCACAGGAATTCTCCCGTGCCCTTTGGCCACCTGAAAGGCGACAGATAAAGTTTTGCGAGGCCTGTGGAGCTTATCGGAGAGGCTTTGCTGCTCACACGTGTTCCCCAGCAGTTGGTTTTACTTTTACTCCCGGCCAAATCGCCCCATCTGGGAAAAAAATCTGCAAAAAGGAGGGAAAGAAAAGTGGAAACAATCAAACATAAAAAGCAAGAGGAATAATGGGTTGTGTTGAATCCACTCACTGCTTTTCCCCACTCTGAGGCTGCATGTGTAGGGGATCGTCCAGGCATCCTCCCCTAGCCCCGATTCCCAAATCTCCCTCTCCTCCCCTGCCAGCTGCAAGGGGATGGACCCAGAGGGAAGCTGATGGTGACAGCAAAGCAGAGCTGTTTTCTTGGGTCTGAGATGGCTCAGGTGTAGGGGTGGCACCGGCTGGGCAAAGCCTCAGTGGATTTCACAGAAAGAGCAAGCCCTGAGTGCCCTCACCCAAGGGATGTTCATGAGCTCAACCCTATCAGACACTAGAAAATTCCTGTGCCTGGTTCTGGCTGCTGCTGTGGGATGACTTGTCCTGTTGTTCATCCTTCTAGCAAAGCTGGAGGTGGGAGCTGCGTAGAACAGAGTAAAACATCGTGCCCAGTGATGTGACACAGGGCTGGTGTCACAATGTCCCCTCTCCGAGGGGTTGTAGATCCCTAGGGTTTCAGGGAAAGGGGAAAAAGCAGTGGGGAAATGTTGGGAGTTATGAGATCCTGAGTTTCTGGCACAGCTTTCCACCCCGAACGTTGTCACAGCAGGAAGGGATCCCACGCCTGCATCTCCCACCCACACAGCATCTCCCAGGGAGATGGATTCAAACACCATCCTCCCGAGGGATCCCTCGGGGAAGGAAAATGACCCAGTTCAGCTTTTTCACCAAGCTTTTTTCAGTTCGAAGGAAGCTATTTCCCTGGATCTAAGTGATGGCAAATTTAATTGGTACTGGATGCCTTGGAAATGACCCCAAGGATTTATCCTGAGGATAAAGCTGTTGGAAATGATGTGAGGGGTAAGAGGGAGATGAGGTTCCTCCTCCTCACAGGTAACCACTGACCCTGCCAAGGGGGTTTTGAGAGGATTCCAGGGAAGCAGCATCCTCCCTGGAAAATGAAAAATCGTTGAAGTTTGGATAAGAAGGTCAACAGGAAGGATCAGCAGAGGGTGCAGCTTTGGTTGTGCTAGTTTGGGGTGAGCTGGGGTTGGGGAGAGGCAGATCATCCCCTGGTGCCCCCCAGGCAGAGCTGCAGTACCACCCCTGGGTCCCTTATCTCCCTGCACGAGTCTCCCCCTCTATCTGCTCCATTTCCCCTGCTGTGGATGTGACTTTTATCTTATCTCCACGTGCTTTTCCTCCATTTCCTCCTTGACTTCTCTGCTAACTCCTGACACAAAAAAGAAAACAAGAAACCGTGGAGGGAGTGGAGAACAGACACGAGATTCTCCTGCAAGGAGTCCAGCCCTGGGCTTGGGGATTCTGGGCTGTACTGGGAGATGCTGGGTGATGTTTGGCCGTGGTGGGAGGGTGCTGAGCCACAGTCCAGTGATGCTCAAGTGGGTCTTGGGGCTTGCTTGGTGATGTACACAATGCTCAGGTGATGTCAGGTGGTTCTTGGGGGGGATACTAAGTGAAGGTCCAGTGATGTTATTGAGACTCAGGGGATTTTGGGGGAATGGTGGATGATGGCCCAGAGAAGCTCTTAGGGCTCAGGTGGTGCTGGGGGAGGCTACTGGGTGATGGTCCAGTGATGCTCTTGGAGCTCAGGGGATGCTCAGGTGTCTCAGTGGGATGTTTAGGAGATGCTGGGGAAATGCTGGGTGTTGTCAGGAGATGCTCAGGATGCCTAGGAAGGCCAGGAGGTGCTGGGACAGCCTTCCAGCTCCACCTGCTGGCATGCAGCACCTGTCCCCTGAGGGAGAGGGTAAGCTGCTGCCTTGGGGGAAAAGCTTCAAATTACTTTGAGAGGTGAAACTGGGGGTGGGGAAATTTGGGGGACTCTGTGTCTGGTGGATCATCACCTGAGCTGACCCAGATTTGCTCCCTGCTGCTTGCAACGGATGCTCCCTGAGCCTTTGGAACCAAAGCAGCCAGAACTTTCCAGGGTTTTTCCAAGGAGGTGGATGGAGAAATGCCCAGCTAGCCTTGCAGGATCCCCCTCCCACCAGCTGTGGGCTCCCACCCTGGCTTGTCCAGAGCTGCCTGACTGGATCCCTTGCTTCCACCCTGAGGATCAAATGCTGCTTCTCAGTTGGGGTAGAGTGGGTTTTCGTAGGATCTCTGCCAGGTGTTGAGAGGATGGGAGAAGGCAAACAAGTCCCTGTTGCCCTTGGCAGAGACTGGCTGTGAGACAAGCAGGGTTTTTCACACCTCCTCTCTTTGTGCCTTCCAGGGTGATCCTGAGCATCACAAATGGGATGCATGTGAAAACCAACATGCTTTCTCCAGCCAGTACAGGGGCAAGGTGACTTTTGGGGAGGCTCCTGGGGGACCCTGTCACCCTGTGCCAACACAGGGTGCTGCCAATGGGGACTTGCTGTGCTCATGGTTTATTTTGTCTCCTGTTCAGGTTGCCTCTCCCTGGCAGCAACATGTAAATGGCTGCAAAACGGTACTTGGAGTCTGTGAATCCTGTGGTTTTGAGGAAGTTACCTTGACTGAAGACAGAGCTCACAGCCAGCAGAATCCAAGACACATCCTGCCCTGTGCCCAACCTTCTCTCTGAGAACTACAAGGACTACAAGGAATCTTGATGTGGCCCCTGCAGAGCCCCGTGCAGCCCTTGGGCGCCAGGAGCATGGTGCCTGCCTTCAGGCATCCCAGTCCCCATGTCAGACATCCCAGTCCCCATGCCATGAGCCAGCCAGTGCCAGCCTCTGTACCCGTGATGAGCTTCCTGATGTACAAACCCCAGAGCCTGGGCCACATGCTGCAGCCCCCAGGCACCCAGAAGGGCTTGGACAGCCTGATGCAGGAGCAGCTGCTGGCCAGGTCGTTGGCTGGACACCCCTTACCAGCGAAGGAGCCAGAGGTGAAGAAGGCAGATGGGCTGCTGGTCCCCCAGCCAGTGTACAGAAACCCCTCCTACTTTCTGCCCCACACCATGGCTCCTGCACTAGCACCACCAGTGAAGAGCCTGCAGCAGAGAGAAGGGGAAGCCTGCCAGGCTCTGCCCCCTGTTCCTGGCACTCTCCACCCCAGTAAGCCCCGTGAGACGGGTCCCTGCTCTGACCCCAACCTCCTGCCACTGCCCTCCAGCCTGGCACTGCCCACCAAGGAGCAGGTGGGCTCCCCCATTGCCTCAGCCCACAACTGTCTTGTCACCTATGATAAATGCAGCTCCTCCCCCAGCACCCTATTCCTGGAACCCCCTGTCCAGAGCCAGAGAAAGGTGCCTGAGGTCCCCAGCCTTAACCTGGACCCCTGGCCCAAGCTCCGGCCACCTGATCCTGGCTTGGCAAACTGGGAGAGGCCACCCATATGCTACCCATCCACCAAATACCCTCAATCTCCCTACAGTCTTGCCCTCCACTACCCTTTCCTCATGCTCCAGGCCCCAAGGTGCTACTTTCCCAACCTTTTTGACACCTGTGTGCCGAGGGCAGCGGGTGCTGGTGTGGTAGCATCACCTCCCACCCAGCCCATGGTGGTGCCAAGGGATGCTGAGCCTCCCAGGCATGCTGGGCACCCTGGTTTTGCCTTGAGCCCTGAGGATGCATCCATGTTCCACACCTCCTGTGCCAGAATGGAGCCAGGATGTGAGCAGCATCAGGCAGAAAGTCCACAGTGGCAAAGGTCATCAAGGCACAGCAGTGCTTTCCAACCTGTCTGCACATCAAAGAAGCTTTCCAGGGGCTCCAGTTGGTTCACAGAGATGTTTCCCGAAGAAGAAGGTGGCTGGAAGAAACCTAGCCAGGAGGAGCAGAAGGCCCCTTTTCCTGAAAGGAAGATCACCAGCCCAGCCCCTCAGGACACCTGCCATGGGGCACCAGTGTCTTTTGTCATCAGAGGGCAGGGAGATGCCTGCAAGGTCAAGGATGAAGCTGAGGAGCTCATCCCACCTTCTCCAGCCATGACCCCTCTGAAGGAGCTGGAAGATCTGAGGGACACAAAGGTTATTCCTTCCTCCCCGCCCATGCCCGTGATCCACGATGTCTTCAGCCTGGCACCTCAGCTGGATGTTACTGAGGCCTCAGACCATATCATCTATTGCAGGGAGCATCTGTGGGGGGACTGCTTACCCCAAAACTCGGGCAGCAACCATGTTTCTGTCATCAAAAAGCAGTCAGTAGTGAGGACGGGCAGTGATGCAAGGCAGAGCCCAAGGGGAAGTGAGATGGTCCCCAAACAGCCAAAGCCTGTGCCCCAACCGGTGGAGTCTCAGTGTGACAACCCTCTGGGCATCTACACTCAGGAGGGCAGCCCTGGCAGTGTGGGCAGTGGGGAGCTGACCCCCGAAGACATGGTGCTGGACTTCAGCTTGAAGAAGAGTGTGGTGGAAGCTGAGGAGACCCAGGGACCCATTGGCCATGCGGAGATGCCGGCCGGCGAGCATGTGGAGGAGAGGGAGAAAGAGGGTGCAGAGGGAAAGGTGGTGGTGGGAGAGGATGCTCAGCTCCAGCTGTTCAACATGGGCTTTGGGGACAAGAGCAACTTCGAGAGCTCAATCAACCTCATGTTCAAAAAATACAAGCTCCTGTCCTCTGTAACGTTCGGCTCCAAGGCCAGTGAGCAGGATGGGGGCCACTGTGGCCTCCAGCTCAGCCCACCCAGCAGCACTCCCACACTGACCCCCCCAACCTCCCCACCAGCCAGCCAGGTGATGCCCCCACCTGGCCCCCAGCCCAGCTTCACAGCTCTGCAGGGAGATCCCCCTGCAGCCCCTGGCACCCTTGGGGAGGAGTGGGACGGGCAGTCTTGGGACTGCCCCCCAAAGACTCTGTGTAGTACGTACTTCACCAGCCTGCACACCTGCATCTGTGACAGGATTTCGAACTCTGTGTACCACTGCTCCCCAGAGCTGCTGCAGCAATGGCTGAAGAAGGCAGATCCGGTAGAGGAACCAGGGGAGACACTCAAATCCCTGGCCAAGGCCAAGAAAAACTTCCGGACGTGTGGTCCTCAGAAGCTCACCAAAGACAAGGAGATCTGGCTGGCTTTCGAGGATGTGTCCCATCTCCTCACCAAACTTCTCCACCAGCTGAAGAGCTTCATGTTGTCTTGCCCTTTCCCCCATGTTGTCCGGGCGGGAACCATCTTCATCCCCATCCATTTGGTGAAGAATCAGCTCTTCCCGATGCTCCCCAGAGCCTCCATTGACCAAGTGCTGCAGAAGCACAAGGTGGAGTTGCGTCCCACCACACTGTCAGAGGAGAGGCGCCTGAGGAGCATGAAGCTGCAGGGCTGCTCCTCCCGCATGCTGAAGCTCCTGGCACTCAAGCAGTTTCCTGAAATCTACACTCCCTCCACTGGCTCAACTCCATCCATCAGCTCAGCACCTCGTACATGGATGAGTCCCTGGGGCTCTCCCAGGGATGCTCGAGCTGCACTTGCCCCCCAGATGCTGCTGGGTTTTGGGAGCATCCATTTGGGAGCATCACCTGGTCCCTCAACATTCTTACCAAGGGTTCTGCCCAGCTTTTCTCTGTGGGTTGTGGAGGGGGAAAGCTTGAGCTGGGAGGGAGATCTTGAGGAGGTGCTGGTCACTGGATGAGTCCCTGGGGCTCTCCCAGGGATGCTCGAGCTGCACTTGCCCCCCAGATGCTGCTGGGTTTTGGGAGCATCCATTTGGGAGCATCACCTGGTCCCTCAACATTCTTACCAAGGGTTCTGCCCAGCTTTTCTCTGTGGGTTGTGGAGGGGGAAAGCTTGAGCTGGGAGGGAGATCTTGAGGAGGTGCTGGTCACCTCCAGGCCACCTCTACCTATCCAAGGGCAGCATGCTGGACCTGCCACCCATGGCTGTCCCATCCCACTGCCCTGCTCTGTCCAGTTGCCCTTTTGCTTCTGCTGAAGGTCATTGCTGACACCTTTATTTCTTCTAGGTTTGAGGTCAGAGCCTGCAAGCATACTTGCAAGTAGGTTAACTCCTGTTCTGTGCACATTTATAGGATTTATAAGTCACTTAGTGGAGGTGGAGGTGTGTTTGTCTGGATTTGTTGTAATGATGAGGAGCTTTTCCTGTCTGGGGAGGTTCCATTCCCTGGGCCAGGCCGAAGGGTGGATTATTTGGGATGTGGAGGTAAAGATCCTGCCCCCACTAACCACTTCTTTCTCTCCCCTGTAGCCCTGGCATGGTGACACAGAGAGATGATGGCAGAGTGACAGCCACGAAGAGCAAGAAAATAAGGCACTAAGGACAGTGCCAAGTGCAACAGCCAAGTGAGGATGGGAAAGGGAAGGTTCCTTGTCCCCACAGCTGTGGATGCTGAGATCAGCCCTGCAGGGAGATGCTGGGCTCCCATCAGCATCAAGGATCCTCCAGGATGTTGCTGCCTGGCCAGGGACTCTCTGAGGATGATGCTCAGGGTGGAGAGCAGCTTGGTGGTGCTCCAGGGTTGTTGGTGTGTTATCCAGGCCTACGGGAATGGGCTCGAGCCTCTCATGGCAGCTGGAGCTGCTTTTCTTTGAATGCATCATCTTCTAGTGCATCTTCCACCTCCATCCATGACCAGCCTGGTGAGCTGAGAGGGAATGGCTGGAGTTCCAGTGGAGCTGAAGCAAGAGGAACATGGAGATAGTTGAAGTACTGTCCCCATCCTTGGGAAAACGCTGGCGACTGCAGGGATGACATCCCACCTCTCTCCTCTCACTCCTCCTTCCTGCTTTATCCACACTATTCCCAATAAATGTACCTTCCTCCTGGTTTTCATGTTTAGATTGCTACCTGACACAACATCATTGAAAGGGAATCATGACTTCTGTAGTCCCAGGACTCATGTTTTTTTGGTTGAAATGAAGACATTTTACAAATGTTCTGGATTTACCTTTGTAAGAAGCTGCTGCCTTCAGGTCATGTGTTTTGGGTTGTTTTCTCTTTCAATAGAGTAATTTATACTTGTCTTTTTGTTTACACTAAAAAGCTGCAAGAAAGATTTAAAGGTCTGTTAAAGGAAACCAAACCACTTTTACATCCCAGAGTCTGGAGAGAGCATGGGATATGCACATTTAGGGACCACCTGGATGGAGACATTGTGACTGGAGGGGCAGAGAGGCAAGCAGTGGAAAGGAGGGATCCTTTCCACCTGGAAGGATTAATGGACATCCCAGGACAGATGGACACCCCCTTGTCCTGGGGGGCTGCAGCAGGGTGCACAGCAGAGGCCTTACAAACTCATCACTCAGGTGTTTTTCCAGCATGGAGGATCAAAATGAGGATTTTTAAGATTTTTGTTTCACTACAGGGAATATATATTTTGAACTAAGAAAATGAGAGGGGGGGGAAAAAAAAAAGAAAAAAAGATTTCTGTGGGTGCCTTCCTGGTTTTCCATTGGGAGGGACTGGCTGTGGATGGGCAGGGGGAATGCTGCTGTTCTCCTCACTCCCCCTGTGCTGTGCACAGTGATTCAGAAAGCAATGTTTGTTAATAATAGTTATTTTATATATAAGGTTCCAGGGAAGAAAGTTCCTTTATTTAATTTTTTATAAGAATATGTGTTGTAAGAGTTTTGCCTCATCGGGTTAAAAGTTTGGTTCATTTCCAGATGTGCTGTGTTTCTGTCTTTGCTTCTCAGCGTGGGCACAACAGGACCTTTCCTGGGCATTGGGGTCCCCCACTTGTTTTCTCCTTGCAACAAGCCCTGTGTGATGTGCCCAGCCTCTCTGTCCCATCACTGGAGGGCTGGATCCAGTGTCCAACCTGCCATCAGGGATCACCCAGGGATGTGGGAGCACATCCTGAGCCCCCTGAGTGCCTGCTCAGCAGGAGGCTGCTGGTGGAAGTGTCTGGGCATCAGGAATCTGGGCAGGAGAGAACAGGGTGCTCAGGGATGCACCCAGGGCTGATCCAGACACCCTACCCCTTGTGAGCCTTGATCAAGCATGAAGTCTGCCTGATCCCAAAAGCCAGGCACCCCAGTCCGTGTCTTCCAACCCAAATTACTGGACTCAATCAGAGGAACAGCACTGCTACAAGCTGCTCCCTACAAACAGGCTGTTGTGAGGAGTATCAGTGGGATTTTGGGATCAGCCTGGCTGGAGGAGCAGGCACAAACGATCCTTCATCTGCCAGGGGCCTAATGAGGAGTAGAGGGAGACTGGGACCCCTCCAGCTTTACCTGGACTAGTGCAAATGAGTGTGTGTTAATTGGGAGCAGCTGGAATGGAGCCACTCCCCCTGGGAAAGGAGATAAAAGCCAGGACTGTGGTGGAAGCAGTATGCTCTCCTTTCCTTGGGTGCTGGTAGGTAAAGGGGTGCTGGGTTGGTGAGCTTGGCTGTCCTTGGGGAGGCTGTTTGGGACAAGGTGGGTGTTTGGGGCAGGGAATGAGGTAATGTCTGAGCCCAGGGCTAGTGATAGCCCTGCTCTGCACTGGGAGCCTCCTGGACTATGCTTGGCACAGGCTTTTCTGAGTTGGGAAGCCACTGGAGAGTACTGGGGAAATTTTTCCAAGAGGTCTTAGCTCTGATGTGTGAGATGCTCTGGGGATGGACCAGTCAGTGGGGTGGGCTGTGGGAGAGAGCTGGAAAGGACCCAGCCTGAAGCTCCTGCTGTACCTCTCCACAGCTGAGCTCTTTCCATGGCCTCTCCCAGGCAGAACCAAGGGGTTGGACCACCAGAGCCCCCAGACATCACTGCCCTGCAGCCAGAATCGCTGCTCCATGGCAAGGAGGAAGGGGCTGTGGGTCCAGCCCGGGGTCCTGCTGCCTGTATGGCTGGTGCTGGCTGCAGGCTGTGGTGCAGAGCCTTCCTGCTGCTGGCTGTGTGTCTGTCTGCCACTGTTCTCCCCCTCAGCCTGCTGACCTGGGGTCCCCTGGGCTCACCAGCCCAACGAGGGACAGCTGACAATCTGGTGACAGCACATGGGGAAGCCCTCAATGAACCAACGATGGAGCAGCCTGTGGGCACCTCAGGCTGCTTCTCAGGGGTCCAAGGAGACATGAGCTGTGGGACAGATGCTGAGGGATGGAGCTTGGGGACACCGACAGTGGCCATGCCAAAAGCTCAGACCTCACTGCAGTGGCAGCCTGGATCTGGGGACAGGGAAGGGCTCAGGCAGGGCACAGCAGCAGCTGTGACTCTGTCCTCCCCACAGTGGCTTGGCACTGGGGTTCCTCCTCCCTCTGCTCAGCTCCTTCAGACTGTGAGTGAGCCCAGCCCTGGCTCCTGGCATCACCTCGCTCTGGGAAGCCTCCATGGAGCAGGACCAGGCTCACATGATGCCACACAGATGCCAGCAGTGACCTCAACTTATGGTGTGGGGCAGCCAGTGGGCACAGCAGAGCCCCAAAGCCCACACTGGGGGTCTGAGAGCACCCCCAGAGCTCAGGGTGTGCTGGCTGACTCCTCCCTGCCTGTGGCTGCTTCCAGCATCTCTGCAGCGATGGAGGTGGTGCCCACCCAACTGGTCCCACCCCAAGGGGCTGCCAGAGGGGCTCAGGTCCCATCCAATGCCCCAGCACAGACACTGGTGGATGCTCAATCCTGGAGCCACCGCACAGTGGAGCAGGTGGTGCCTTCAGCTCTGCCAACAGAAGGGACATCCAGCTCAGCCAAACTGCACCCCAGCACTGCTGTGACACCTGAGGGGCTCTGGAGCACTGATGGTGCCTTCCTGCGTGGTGAAGCTACTCTGCTGGTGGACATGACCTTGGCCAATGTCCCAGGAAATACGTCTGGACTCCTGGATGCTGTCTTGACACCGCTTCCCGGTGCTACACTGGCTCCTGGTGTCAACAATCTGCAAGTGCTGGCTCCCTTCCTTCCCACGGCAGAGTCTGGGGCTCCTGCTGTTACCTCTGGGAAGCAGAGTGACCTGCCTTCCACCCCTACACAGCCGATGTCCACGGGAACCCACACCACCTCAGTTTGGACCAGGTCTCCCAGCACTGCAGGTCCCACTGGTGCCATCCCAGAGCCTGGACAGATGGCTGTGATGGAACAATCTGGGAACAGTGAGCCTAGGACAACATTGATGGGACCCACTGCTGCTCCAGCAGGATATCTAGAGCCCTCCCATGCCAGCCCAGGTTCTGCTTCTCCTTCTCCCAGCTCCATGAACCCTAGTCTGGAGCATCTCTTCGAGGCTGGGCACCATCCTGGCATTGCCAGCACACCATTCCCATCCTACCTGCTGACTTCTCCTGCAGCTGGGTATGCAGTCAGCTTTCTGTTCAGCTCCCAGACCCTGGCTGTGCCCACAGGAGCAACCCTTGATACCCAGTCCATGTCCACTGGCTCTGTCACCTCCCAGCACCTCTCCACAGCCACAGAGCATCTCTCTGCAGCCTCCAGAGTGACCTTCAGCCCAACTGAGCTCCATGTGATGGGTGAACGTGGCTTCACAGAGATGAAACCCACTGCATCCTACCCCTCCAGGCTCCTCTCTCCCACACAGCCAGTGCATGTGCTGCCCTTGCAATTCCGACTGCTGGGAATCACCTACACCCCAGCTCTGGGCGGCAGGAATTCAGAGACCTACAGGGAGTTGGAGGGAGATGTGAAGATGATGGTGAGTGCAGGAGCTGGGTAGGAGAGGTATTGAGGTGAGGAGCCTGCAGGCTGCATCAGCCTGGCTTGGTCTGTTGCCCACCTGGGCACAGTGGGGCTGGGTAAATCCCTGACACAACTCCCTCAGAGCAAAGCTGAGCTGACTCCCCTCTTTGCTCCATCCTGATGTGGGGGAGCTTGGAAAAGCTTCTCAGTTACCAGCTGCTTCTTTCTTCCAGCTAACCCAGCTGCTGTTGAGCTATGAGACCTTCCTGGAGGCAAATGTTCTCGAGTTTCTGTAAGTGTGCAGCTGATGGAGAGGGAAAGGTTTGGCTTGGAGTGGTAGGTTTGCCTAGGAAAACGCTTCAGATGGGTCTCATGAGGGGCTATACTCCCTCCCTGGGGTCATCATCCCTGCCTGAAGCTCTGGATAAAGCCACCTGAGACCTCTTGGGGTGAGTATGATGGGACCCCAGAGCTGGTCCCAGAGGGCAGGTGGGCTGCACACTGTCTTCTCTCCCTCCCAGGAATGGCTCAGTGGTTGTGCGAGGGGAGGTTCTGTTCCAGGGGGATTCTCCTGCTCCCACCAACTCCCACCTCATCCGGACAGTCATCACGGAGGTGAGCAAGGGAAGGAGCATCTTCAGCTGGCAACTGGAGCCCCAGTCTGTCCAGTCCAGTGGTAAGTCATGGAGATCTTTCCATAGCAGAGCTGCTACTGCCCAGTGCCCTACCTGTACTTCCATCAAAGCCAAAGTTTGGACTCCAGGCTTTTCTGTCACCCAACATACCTTCTCCAGAGCCATGAAAAGCCATTTTAAGGATGTTAAGGGTGCTGGAGAACACATCTGCAGCAGCTGGACCTGCGTGGGTCAGTGCTTCTGCTAAGCTCTCTGGCTTGTCCTTCTTGATCCATCTCTCCTGTGCTGGGAGGTGGTGCATCCCAAGCCCTATCCACATCCAAAGGAATTCCTTTTCACTCAGCTGCCCTGCTGGCTTCTGCTTTTGGTGTGTGGCAGTGGATGAGCTTGAGGCTGATCAATATCTCCCAAGGGAGGTGGAAGAGCAGGTGTGAGTGTAACTCTTCTGAACTCCCTTAGGCTTCAGCCTGGAGAACCTGGAACCAGAGAAGCTGTCCATCTCCCTCTCTGGCTTCCAGCTTGGGATGAGCAGGGTGGATTCCCTGGATAGGCTGGTCAGCGAGGTATGCCAAACCTTGGGGGCCCTTCCAAAGGGTGATGCTGGGAAAATGGGTACAGACTGGCTGTGGGCTGCCTGGACTGTGGGATAACATGTGCTAAATAGGGGAAAGTTGAGCTGTTGTCTCCTCTTCATCCAGATGACTTCATCTGTTGGTCCCCTCTACCCTGTGAGGAACTTCAGTATTGTCCAGATCAGGTATGGGATGCAGCTCCCTCTCTCCCAAGCTCTTAATTACCTTCACTGCCTCCTGTGCTCTCTGCAGCTAATCAGCCATGCTGCAAGGATGGGGAGGATGGGAAAACCTGGGAGGTGCTGTGCAGCTGGGGCAAACACTACAACTGAGACACCTTCCCAGGAAATAACACCAGCAAAGGTGTTTGAGCCTGGTCCCAGTCCTCCTGCCTTGCTCAGAGGTCTTCTCTCCCCTCAGGAACTTAGATGGGAACCCAGAGCTCACTGGAGACCTCTACCTTGACACAGTTGTCCATGCTGATGTTACAGAGGTTCTGCAGGCACTGGTCACACTTGCAACCCTCCCTGTGGACCTGACCTCTCTCTCTGTGGAGGGTAAGGACAGACCCAATGTGTGGCAGGGCTTACTGCCAAATCTGCTGGCTCAGCACTCATGTTTTGCTCCTTCAGGGTCCAAGCTTCACCTGCAGGTGTACCCACTCTCCTTCATCATCACCAACAGACTCTTCAGCCAGGACCTTCAGGACCCACTTGATGTAGAGCACCAGGATCTTGCCAGGGACCTTGGAGATGCGGTAGGAATGGGGCTGGTGAGAAGAGGGGGGGTCAGGGTTCTCCCAGGGAGGTGAGGAGTCATAGGAGGAAGAGGGGCTGCTTTGGGGTGTCCAAACAGCCCAAAAAGCTTGTGGGAAGCTGAGCATAACCTCTCTTCCAGGTGGCAAGAGCCTTGAGGAACTACACAACATTCCTGCAAGTGGTGATAAGAGAATTCCTGTGAGTGGGAGCAAGGGGGGGTCTTCTGGGGCAGGGGTGTACAGAGCCAGGGAGGTCTCCCTACCAACATCAACCAACAGCTCATGGCTGTCAGGTGTATATTTTTGGCTGTAGAAGGATTTGCAGAAGCAGTTGAGGTGAAGCATTTACCCACTGGCTTAGTAGTGACTTGCTGGAGCTTCAGGGATGTCCCTTCCTTCCAATGACTCCCTGAGTGCAGAGACCTCCTTCCTTTGAACAAAATTATCTGGGAGGCTTTCTGTGCCCACTCCATCCCACTGTGGGGTCATGGTGGGACTGGCAGCTGCTGGAGCTCTTCCCAACCCTGTCTGCAGGCCTGGCTCTTTGATCTGTCATGGGGACTTGGTCTTCAATCACCCTGCTCCAACCAGCTTGGAAGTCTTGGAGGCACTTGTGCTCTCAGTTGGGCCTACCCAGGCTTTGGCTGGCTCAGATATCCAGGTGGATCCATACTCTTTTGCTGTGGGAGGTAAGCTTCCCTCTGGGATATGGATATACAAGCTCCACAGGCTCCATGCCTGCAGTCCACAATCCACTAGATCCTGATCCCCTATGTAAAGGGAGGGTGAGATGTCTTGACTGATGAGGTCACCATAAAGCCAAAGTTTGGTAACAACCCTATCCCTCTGCACAGCCTAGGGGGATTGGGAATGGAGCCCACTCCCCTCCAGACAGGTGGAGAGTGGGAGGGAAGGGTTAGCTGGAGAGAGCAAGGAGGGTGTGGGATAGATGTTATTGTCATCCATCCTATAGATTTGTCCTGGTGCAGAGTGGGTGGTTGGAACTCCCCGGGGCAGAGCTCCTGGATGTTCTGGGCTCTAACTGCTGTGCTCTGCTCCAGATGACACCCTGGACCCCCCTGTGCCCCAGCCAGGCTTTCCAGCACATGGTGTGGCCTTCATGGTTGTGGGTGGCCTCTGCATCATCACTGCTCCTGTTTTGCTGGTGGTAAGTTTGTCTGTCTCTCTGCTGGGGTGAAGCAGCTCTGGTCCCAGTGTGGACTGAGCTGAAGGGACCATGTGGGGCCAGGCAGGACTGCAATCTGTGCTCTCCTCCTAGTTCCTGGGGACAAGGAGGCTTGGCTGGCAGGATGAGACAGCCCTGTGGGACAGAGGAGACCCTGAAGTGGGGATCCAGACACTGGAAATGAATAACCTGGGATTCTGGGAAGAAGTGAGTGGCCTTTACATCCCTTGGATTAGTTACTGTGCCTGAGAGCTGCTGTTCCTGCAGGTCACAGGTCCTTGTGGTACCTGGTGATCATCTCCTGGGTTGGAGAAACCCCTGGGGGGCTGGAGGGAAGGGACTCTCATCCCTGCCCTTTCTGGAGGTGTGCACAACAACTTCTTCCTCTCCTCTGTAGGACCCTGATAATTCTCACATCTATTGGCAAAGCAGTTCTGCCTGAGGAGAGAAGACTCAGCAGCTGGTGGGGAGAGCCTGGAGAGGGGCCTTGAGGGGAAGGAGACGCTGAGAAGCTGTCCCTGCTCATCTGGCACAATCTTTGAGAAGGATGTAAAGGAATAATTGTGTATCTTAAATAAACTGTTTCTATAATATCCAATCACTTCCAGTTTCTCCAAGTTGCTTCCAGTATGATCCCAGTAGCCTTCAGTGTGGTCCCACTTGTTCCCAGTCACCCCCAGTTTGATTCTAGTCCTTCCCAGTTATTCTCAGGAGGATCTCTCTTACCCCCATTTGGCCCAGTTTTTCTCAGTCACCCCCAGAATGCTCCCAGTTACTGCCAGTTGCTTCTGGCATGATCCCTGTTGCTCATAGCCATTCCCAGTCACCCTCACTGTGGTCCCAGATACTCCCTGTATGATCCCAGTTGCCCCCATCATAGAATCATCAAGGTTAGAAGAGACCAACCTTCTCCAAGCAAAACCCCTAGACTTACCCCACGCTAGCTCTTGTTGGCTTTTCCCTTCCCAGAAAAGCACCAGATGGCAGTGTGCACTTGCAAAACCCTTCCCAAATTCGTGTTTGGAAGGGTCACCAGATGGCAGTGTGCACTTGCAAAAGAAACAGACATACCAGGGCTAGCTCTTTGTCAGAAAGGGACTGGGCAGTGCTGGTGGCACAGCTCAGTGTGAGCCAACATTGGGCACAGGTGGCCAAGACGGTCAAGGGCATCTTGGCCTGGCTCAAGCAGAGTGTGGCAGCAGGACTAGAGCAATTCGTGTTTGGAAGGGTCACCAGATGGCAGTGTGCACTTGCAAAAGAAACAGACATACCAGGGCTAGCTCTTTGTCAGAAAGGGACTGGGCAGTGCTGGTGGCACAGCTCAGTGTGAGCCAACATTGGGCACAGGTGGCCAAGACGGTCAAGGGCATCTTGGCCTGGCTCAAGCAGAGTGTGGCAGCAGGACTAGAGCAGTGCTCATCCCCCTGGACTGGGCACTGGGGAGGTCCCAGCTCAGTGCTGTGCTCAGCTTTGTGCCTCTCACTTTAAAAAGGCCATTGAGGCACTGGAGTGAGTCCAGCCAAGGGCAACGAGGGCAGAAAAGGTCTAGAGCACATGAAGGGCTGAGGGGTTTGGGTTTGTTTAGCCTTGAGAAGATGCTCAGGGGTGACCTCATGGCTCTCTACAACTACCTGCTCAAAGCCACTCTCAATGTGGGTATCCCAGTACATATATGTACTGATCTTAGTATATCCCAGCTGCCCCCAACATGTTCCTAGTCATTCCCACTATAATCCCAGTCATCCTCATGTTGACCCCAGTTGCTCCCAATATGATCCCCACTGTGGTTTCAGATACTCCCAGTGTATATCCCAGTTCTCTCCTGCATAGGATCATGCTGGCTGTGACCAGGAGCATGCTAGGAGCAATTGGGACCCTGTTGGGGGCAACTGGGATCATGCTGGAGGTGCCTGGGGGTCATACTGGGAGCAACTGGGACCACGGTGAGGGTGACTGGGAGTGGCTGTGGGCAGCCAGAATCATGCTGAAAGCACCTGGGAGTGACTGGGAGTATTTTGGGTGGATTGGAATCAGCTGGGCCTATGCTGGTGGCAACTGGGATCCTACTGGGAGTGTCTGAAATCATAGTAGTGGTGACTGGGAGCAAGTGGGACCACACTGGGAGTGACTGGGACTGCTCTGGTCTCGCAGTGGGAGCAACCAAACCACAAAGTTATGACTTATTGAGAAGTTGAGTTGTTTCCAGTTGTGCCTTTCCTGAAGTTAGAAGTGGCAAAAATGTCAGAATTCAAGTTGAGGAGAATAAATCAGATTCCCTGAGGCTTAAAGTGAACGACAAAGGATCAGTGACCTTTCCCAACTTCTAATCAGTTTTTCTGTGCACACAAAGCTCTTTGAGATCACTTGAACTTGTCTGAGTGAGCAGAGGAACCACCAAACAGGAATTCTCAATGGCTTAACACAGCTCTGCAGTCAAGAATGAAAATCTGGGTAAAACTCTTACACATAATTACAGACTCTTACATATAATTACAGAATCCTTAGTTCTCTGATTAGGGGTGAGCTTTGAGGCGATTTTCAGGCCAATGCCTTAGTGGATTGAATTTCAGAACTCTTTATTGTCTTGTTAGCAATAAGGCAATGGCAAATATTTTCCACAAGTCAGAGAAATTAGTCTATTTCTCTGTCTTACCAGGATTCTTCTGAGGACTCTTCCATTGAAATATGTACTTAAAATGTACTGCTTTCCCCTTGTGTTCAAATAATCAGCATTTTGGTTTGCAGTGGTGTATGGAGAACTGCAGCACTGTCAAATAAGCTTTGACAAAGAGTTTCTAACCTCTCCAGAGTTTTCACATCATGCAAGGTTCTTCTTTCTACACACTCGTGTTTACTTTGTGCACAGGCCTTGGTGGGGAAAGATTGTGATTGCTCCAGAGTGCAGAGTGAGATTGTGCCTTGTTTCCTACATCCCTTCTGACACAAATCTGTATTTGTTAGGGTGAAAGCTGCTTAGATGCTGCTCTGGTGCATCAAGAGGATAATCTGAAGCAAAGTGTGCCACATGTTTGATTTACAGATAAACTGCCTCCTTGGAATAGTAACTGGGAGCATGTTTGTATAGAGAAACATGATGGATTGTCCTTGTTCTGGAGCACTAGCACATTCTGGGTGGACATCCCAGCCCTAGACATAGTGATGCCTCAGATGCCTCTGTGCTTAAATGATGGTTGTTTAAACATTGTTAAAAGGGAAATGGCTTATTAAAACCCATTATAATCCCCCTCATACTGTGCTTATACACACAAGTGAATCAGGTCATAAACATGGCAAAAGGCTCTTCCCAGCCCAAAGCTCAGTGGCAGAGAACAGAGGGAAAGCAAAACACTCAGTTTCCAAACAGCAGCCACCACTCAACAGCTGCCCAGTCTGGCAAGTAAGGTGAATGCCAACTCAGCCTTGATTTCATAGTATCATAGCTTCATAGTATGTCCAGGGGTTGGAATGGAGCTTAGAGATCCATCCAGTCCCAGCCCCCTGCCCTGGGCAGGGACAACTCCCACCAGAGCAGGTTGCTCAAGGCTCATCCAACCTGGCTTTGAACACTGCCAGGGTTGGGGCAGCCACAGCCTCCCTGGGCAACCTGTGCCAGTGTCTCCCTACCCTCACAGGGAAAAACTTCTTCCTGATGTCTAACCTGAATTTCCTTTTTCAATTTCTCCCCATTGCTCTTTGTCCTGTCACTGCAGTTCCTACCCAAGAGTCCCTCTGCAGTTTCCCTGGAGCCCCTTCAGATCCTGGTGGGTTGCTCTGAGGTCTCCAGACAACCTTCTCTGCTCCTCAAGACCTTGTTAAGGTCTTGAAGACATATGAAGCTCCATAAAACAGTAAGACTAAATGATGAACTGAGAGCTTCAGCTCTGCAGGCACATGAACACTACAACATTCCAATGTCACACATCAGCTTCTCTCCCTGCTCCACTCTAAATAATTTATTTGCTAGTGGGTTTGAGGAAGGCAAGAATGATGTTTGAAGTTTTTGTGGTCTATGAGTAATACACAGAGATGTATTTTTGTGTTTATCAATGTCAGGCCATGCCAGTTTAGAAAAGGGAGTGTGGAACACAACTGTACCTGCAGAGAGCTGAATTCAATTCCTGTCCCCTTTCAGAACTGATCTGTCAGTTTGGGGTTTGATTTTCCAACTTAGGGTCAGTGTAGGATCAGTTACAGAAACCCTCAGGTGCTACAAAAACAAAGGGTGAATCCTCACCCAGCTCAGAGTCTGTGTGCAGATGAATACACACACATAGACCATCTGCCCATGGTGAGGCAGCAGCAGCAAAAGCAGTTCCATCCCCTTTCCAGGAGCAATGGGTTGGCATTCACAATGAAACATTAATCATTCCACATCCTTCTGTGTCCAAGGAGTCTGAACAGTTGTGGCAGGAGCAAAGAATCCTCTGCTTGTGTTCCCTGATGTGCCTCTAGGAAATCATTAAGGAGCTGTTCCTGGGAGTGAATTGGCCTAGATCTGATGAACTTTCAGCTTTTATTGGTTTTCCTCTGCTCACTTATTCCTTTGTTCTATCTTTTTTTTTTTTTCCCCAGCTGCAGTCCTCTTTCTTCCCTTTTCTTGCAACTTCATGTGCTTTCTCACTGATAACTTTGTCTTTGATGGTCCCAAGCAGCTGAATTGGGATGTGGAGTCAAGTATAAAACTTCCTAAAGTTCAGAGAGGTTTAACTCAAGGCTTTGCTAAAAAAAAAAAAAGCTTATTTCCAACAAGATCCATTGTAAAGGCACTGCAGGTGATGACAAGACACCCAGGCACCAGACTGTAGAGGGATAGAGTTGGAGCTACAGCCACATCTTTAGTCCAAGGGCTGGCCAAACCAGGGAAATGATATAATGGAAAAGCTCTTCTTTGAGAATCCGAAACCAAGTCCAAGCATTAATGACATTCTTGCCCTATGAGTTAAGGAAGGATCATTATCCTGTTTCACAGATGGGTGAAATCTGAGGTAAGGTGATGAATTTAGTCAGTGGTAGATCGAGGAATGGAACCTGTCTCAACCTCTTGGTATGTGCTCTAACTCAGTGTGTACCTACACACTGACACTGCTCCGAGTTGACACTCAAATACTAAATTGTTTCACTGACAAGAAAGTATTGCAATGCATTCATTGAACAAGCAGGGAAAAATACTTGGGACAGACAGAAATGGAAAGGAAAATCAGAACTGC